GTATGTTTGATAAAATTGGGTGCACTGACATTGGGTCATAATTGTTATTTCTTTTTGATGTATTTCCCCTTTTATTAGTTTGAAGTATCCTTCTTTATTTTGTTTGATCAATGTAAGTTTGAAATCTACTTTGTCTGATATAATTATTGCTGCTCCTGCCTGTTATCAGGGTCTTGCCTTGGTAAATCTTCTTCCATCCTTTAACCCTAAGCCAGTGTTTGTTTCTGTCAGTGAGATGGGTCTCTTGTAAACAACAGATTGTTGGATCCTCCTTTTTTTCCAGTTTGCCAAATGGTGTCTTTTGATGGGGGAGTTGAGTCCATTGACATTCAGAGTTAATATTGATAGGTATGTGGTGATTCCTGCCATTTAGTCATTTTTGTTGTTTGAGGATTTGATTATGTGCAACCTAATCAGTGCTGCTCTTTGATTCCTTGTCTTTTCTTCTCCTGTGGTTTTGTTTGCTTTCATCTTTTGTGTGTAGAATTTCTTGTAGAATCTTCTGTAGTAGTGGGTTGGTGGTCATATATTGTTTTAGGTTCTGTTTATTGTGGAAGATTTTTATTGCTCCATCTACTTTGAATGATAGTTTTGTTGGGTAGTGTATCCTAAGGCTGAAATTATTTTCATTCAGTGCCTGAAATAACTCAGTCCATGCTCTTCTTGCTTTTAAGGTTTCCATTAAGAAATCTGCTGTGATTTTGATGGGTTTACCTTTATATGTTATTTGTTTTTTTCTCTCTTACAGCCTTTAATATTTTTTTTCTATTTTCTGTGCTGCTTGTTTTAGTGAGAATATGCCATAAGGATGTTCTATTTTGGTCAAGTCTGTTTGGTGTCCTGGAGGCTTCCTGTACCTGAAAGGTCATAACTTTCTCTAGATTCAGGAAATTTTGTTATTATTTTATTGAATATATTATGGATCCCTTTTGCTTGACCCTCTTCTTCTTTTTCAATGCCCATGATTCTCAGGTTTGGTTTTTTGATGGAGTTGCTGAGTTGTTGCATATACCTTTCACAGCTCCTGAAGTGTTTGACTAAGAGTTCTTCTGTTTTTTCTTTAATTTCTGTTTTATCTTTGAGTTCTGAGATTCTGTCTTCCATTTATTCTAGTCTGCTGGAGTGGCCTTCCAGTGTGTTTTTTGTTTCTGTTTGATTCTTTTTTCTGAGGTCATTCATATTTTTGGTCAACTCCTCTTTTATATTTTTTCATCTTTAATTCATTTATCTCTTTTTTATAGTGTCTTTTGTTTCACTTTGGTGTTTGTTTAAGTCATCTCTGAGTTCATTTATTTGTTTCTTTGCTTCTCATGTTCTTTATTTTTGGTGTTTTGAAATTTCTTGATTGCATCTTGTACACTTTGCTTAACTATGTCTAGTATCTTCCCCATGAATTTCTTAGTAATTTCTTGCAAGATTTCTTCTTTGAGGGTGTTTTTGTGGGCCTTGCTGGGCTCCTTAATGACATTTATCATTGTTTTTTTGGAGGTCAGGAACTGGGTGTCCATTTTCTTCATTTCCCACTGAATCCTCTATTGAATTTTTTTTTTGAGGAGAGTGGTTTCCATCCCTTCTTCTTCCCATCTCTCCACTTTGTGCTATGCAACTATGTTCTTGATAGGCTAGTTGGTGGTCTTAATTGACTGTTCTGTTTCCCTTGATTTAATTTTTGTGTTGTGACAGTCTTAGTTGTTAGCTAGGTTGGTATGTTATTTCTGTCCCTGGTCTGGAGGTGTAGTTTAGCAATAACAAATTCACAGATTCAATGCCAGACTAGTTGTTTATATATTATATAGAACACCTTTTGGTGATATTATTTATAAACATTGGGATTTAGCAGGGGAGTAATTCTTGTTAAGCTAGATATACAAATTCTGGAAATTGGTGAAGGTGGCATTAAAGGGGGAGGTGGGAAGTGGGGTGGGTGAGTGGGGGAAGCAGTGCAGGGGCTGCTGGGTTTTGTGGCTGTTGTGTGTGTTTAGGTGTATTTCTGTTGTTGTAGGTTGCTTATGTCAGGGATTGCAGGGGGTTGGGATTGTAGGGGGTTGGGATTGTGTAAAGTTGGTACAGTAGACTATTCAACAGATGGTGAGTGTGTAGGAAGGAGGGTTAATGTGGTGACAGGTTGGGGGAGGATTGGAGAGGAAGATAAAGATGGGAAGAGAGTGAATAAGAAGGGCAAAAAGAGTAGTTGGGAGTGAGAACAATGGATTACAGCACAGGAGAAAGAGGGAGAGTAAAGGAGGTAAGAATAGGGATGAGAAGATAGTGATGGTGAAGTTAATAATACAGAAAAAAAAGAAAATAGAAATACAAATAAAATTAAAAAAAACAATAATTAAAAAAATAACAATAAAACCACTAGGTTCCAGAACAGTAGAATTTCAGTCTTAGTTTAAGTTCTGAAGTTACTCCTCTGGCATCCAGTCCTGGTATTGGCATATAAGCAGAAGCTCTGATGTGGTCTCACCAGGTGATTGGCTTGTGAGTAGTGTTTTGTTCTTCTGTCTACCAGTTTAATTGAAATTGTGAGATGAGGTAGGTTTGCCAGATCATGCAGGGTGATCAGAGCTGTTGTTTTCACCAGCCAGCAGTTGTGTTATCCTTCTGCTGCAGCTTTGTTTGGTCAGCTCCTCCCACAGCAAGGTGGGGCAGTTTGGTTTTGAATGCTGCCCCTGTGGCCCAGGAGATCAGCTCTGGGATCCACTACCTGCCCTGCTTTGGGAGGTCGTTTGTCACCCTGTGTCTGCTCTCAGCCTTTGTGGCCTTTTCTGCATTTGTTCACTGAGAGTTTGGTGCTGAGAGTTTAGCACCTTGCCCTGCCTCTGTTCTGCATGGCAAATACAGCATTTCACCCACACCTCCACTGTTGGTGTTAGATTACAGTTCACTGTTTGTTTTTCAGTTTTGTTGTGGGGAGATCAGTCTGCCCAGGGGCTGCGCTGGTTTATGTTCCCAGGGGATGGGTACAGGAGTCACATGTGTTGCATGATGCTCAGCTGTTCTTTCTGCCAACTCACACAAAAGAGGGTTTGGAGCTGGCAGTGGCAGTTGGGAGAAATGGTGCCAAATTTTTTCAGTGCAGCATGGTGTGTGGAGGCTTTCCATGGACTAGGGGTTCAGGATGTCTCAGAGTTTGATTCTGATTGATGCTCTGTCTTCTGCTTGATGAAAGAAGGAGAAGAGAAGGAAAGAAAAAAAGAGAGAGTGAAATGCCTTGGAGGTGGGGGGATGTTCCCTGGGAAAGACCCACCTTGTTGGCTGTGCCACAGGTTGCAGCTGTCAGGTACAATTAAAGGCTGATTTAAGGGTCAGTCTTTGAATTTTTTTCTGCACCTAATGTGATGGTGGTTATTATTTTGGCTAGAAGCAATCAGAATTATCCAACTGCAGCTCCGATGTCTCAAGGAGGTTTCTGGAATCACGGAGCTTAGGCTTTCTGCTTTGTACCCTAGTTACCATCTTGGATCCCTCTATACAATAATTAAAAATGAATTTGTAGCTTGGCACCAGTAAATAGTTCAGGCCTGTGAGCCTGACTACTCAAGAGACAGAGATAAGGAGGATCATGATTTGAGGCTAGAAAGGGCCAAAAGGAAGACCCTATCGCAAAAATACCCAATGCAAAAAAGGATTGGCAAAGTGGCTAAAGTAGCACCTGCCTAGTAAGCATGAGGCCCTGAGCTCAAACCCTAGCACCAGAAAATATGAATTTGTACATCACCATTATGAACATTTGTCCATTTTTTCCTCAAACATGGGTTATGCATCTTCTGTCTCTCCTCTTTCTGGGACTTCCATTATGCATACATTTATCTCCTTGATACTGACTCATATAACCATATGTTCTCTTCATTTATTTCAATGTTGTTTACATTTTTATCTTTGACATGATGATTTCAAATACCATGTCTTCAAGTTCACTGGATCTTACATTGACCAAATGTGTTTTTGAACTCCTCTACTAAATCTTTCAGTTCATTTATCATAATTTTTAGCTCCAGAATCTCTGTTCATTTCATTTTAATTTCTTTTAAACAAGGGTGAATAAAGCAGGAGAGTTTATTGAAATAGAAAAATGGCAAAGAATAGAGTTCCCAGAGCTGGGAGTGGTTCTAGGAGAGGGTGCCCAATTTCATTTTAATTTCTATCTCTTTATTAATATTTATAAATTTGTTAATATTTATGAACCAGATATATGTTTCTGACACATCACTCAAAAAGCAATTAATGTAATTCATCATTTTATTGGCTAAAGAAAAAAAATCATAAGATCCTGTCAGTAGACATAGAAAACCATTTGACCAAATACAGGACTACTTATAAGCACTCTCAGCAAATGAGAATGTAAGGTAACTTTCACCCTGAAAAAGAGCACTTACCAAAGGCCAACAGCTAACATCATACTTGTGATGAGGCAATAATGCTGTATGGCTAAGATCAGGAACAAGGTAAGAAAGTAGCTTACCACTTTGGAGTCCAGTATGTTGGACTTAGCATGAGATTCAGCAATTATCCTTCTTGGTATTTACTTAAATTGAAAGCAAGAAATATGTACACAAAAACATGCACACGAATGTTCATAGCAACTTTATTCATAATTGTCACAGATGACATATAATCAAAATGTCATTTACTAAGTGAATGGATAAATAAATTTGAGTACAACCACACAATGGAATATCATCCAGGAATTTAGGAAAATGAACCATTAAATTACAAAAAGACATAGCGAAATCTTAGATAGTGCTAAGTATGCACTATGTATACATATGCATATGATGTACAGCAGCAGAAAAACTATAGGGAGTAAAAGTGCATTAGTTACTGGGGATTTGTAGAAATGCTATTGGCAAAATACTATATACTATTTTGCTCTTAGAAAAAAATTGAATAAACTATTTTTGAAGTCAAAATTGGTATTGCCAAAAAAAGCTTGACAAGATCAACTGGGTAAAGAAATAACCCAGGCAATAATTTTGTTCTTTTTATCTATTTAGCACCCAAAGGCTATAACTTTAGAGGCATTTTCAGTTGTTATAGCACAGCTGCTTGGAATTAATCTTGGATTAACATATGATGATATCTACAACTGTTACTGTCCAGGAAGTTCATGCATAATGAATCCAGAGGCAATGTAAGGTTTTTATTTTTTTAAATCAAACTTATATCTACTCTTGGGAAATATTTGTAACATTCCTTGATGTATAATGTCTCACAACATGAATTGAGTAAGGATATTATTAATAAATATATATGTACTTATTTAAGGCATATTAAAGAAAATGAGTTTAGGATGTTACAGAAAATGTACTTCATATATATGTATTTCAAAGTTAGTGCATGGAGAGGAAGTCGATGTTGAAGAGGATGTTCTGGGGTTTATTGGAGTCTTGTTGGAATTGTTGATGCCCTTTTCATAGTGAGAAGATACAATGATACTCAAATAACAAGAAGCTTGAAAGCTCAACAAAACCAGGTGTGAGAAGATTTGGCATTGTTGTGGGGGTTGGTAACAACAAAAGAAGAGAATAGAAATGGTTGGGACTACAAGAAAGAATGTTTTAAGCACAGGGAAAACAAAGTGAAATACATTGAAGACAAAGAATCATGAGTCAGGGGAAGCACAGGAAATACAGGAAAGCACTTTAATGTATGGAGAAGTGAGGGGTGGAATTTTATAATAAATGTAAGAAAACACAATTAGTCCATTTATGCAAATAATGGTAAAAAGTGTCCTATAAAATGAATGTAAATTATAAGAGGGAAAATACATAGTAATATCATTAAAAGTTGTAATTAGGAATAGGATATTTATATGAAAACCAAAGTACTTCTCTCCAAACATTTACAAACTCATAAGGAAAAAAATGAATTAATAATAAAATAAAATAAATAATGGAACAATGGAGATTACTCTGGTCAATGTAATTTTATCAGTAATAAAACCAACTTATCGAAGTGATTTCTAGCAGTAATATAAGAAATTGAAATTGTGTGCCACTTTTTAGGTTGCAATGAAATAAACAGAAAATACTCCTGTGGCAGTGTTGGCGAGCTGCCTCACCCACGGGTAATCACTAATGACAGATGTCTTAGACCTAAATTGAGGGACTTTGTACAAAATAATTGACTTGTGATTATAAAACTTTTCATGGTCATGAAAGCTTAACAAAACATAGGCAACTCTAAGGAGACTGTTGCCAGACAATGGTAATGTTCTAGTGTTTGTGCACATTTGAATGGATTCTGAGGATTAAATAGTACAGATATATCATTCTTTCCTGATTTTTAAAGGTCTGGTGTGGTTACATAGAATTCATTTCTACATAAGAACTGCTTGGTAAAGAATGTAGACTCATTAAGATTCACAGGACTCTAGGAAGCAAAATTTGTTTTGGGGCTACATTTTCACCATTATGCAAATTTTAAGACTGTTATAGAAAATTAAACAAAAACTAAACAGTATACATAAGTGTATAGAAATACAGTTGCTATGCTTAGTGACGTGAACCTGTAGTCTTTTAAGAGGCAGGAATATCACTTGAGCATAGGAGTGATATAAAGTTAACCCCTCCCCCTGCCATCTAGAAAAAGTATAGAAATATAAAACACAAAAAAGTTACTAACAATGAAACAATAGAAGGAATGAAGGGCTTGTATGTTTTCTACTCCTCACTATGGAAATAATTGTATTTGATTACTTTTGTTACCCCAAACCAGAAAACGATTTCTTTTCTCAATGACACAATTACCTTTAGTTCCTTAAAGTTTTTACTTGTTTCTTAGCATATTCCATTTCTTAATGATCATCTGAGCTTCTTAGCATAATGATTATGCTCACAGTAATAGGATATTCTCAAATAGAGCTCACAAGACGCCATGCACTGTTGAGTGGAGTATCATGTGCTCTACTTTCTACATGTCTATTATAACAAATTACTATAAAACGAACTTTTTGCTTTTGTTTAATAACTGTGTAAAAGCAAAGGAAAATCTTCTTTTCTTGACTCTTCTTTAAGTGAAGCAATCCAGAAGTCACAGCACTTTTTTGAAAAGTGTTATTTTGATAATGCCTTTGTTTCATTTATCTGAGGAATATAATTTAATTTTAGACAATCCCATGGTATAAAGACTTTTAGCAGTTGCAGCATGGATGGATTTAAGCAGATGGTTTCACAGCCTGAATTTGAATGTCTTCAGAACCAAAAAGTTTCAGAAGTGATTCTCCAACCAAAGCAAGCGACTTGTGGTAATGGAATTTTGGAAAGTGGAGAAGACTGTGATTGTGGCCCACCAGAGGTTAGTGATAAACCTTCATAGCTTATCCAAAGACTGATTTTTTGTGTTTAGCATGTAGTCTTGTATGTATAGATTTGATAGAAAATGGGAGGGCATCATTTTTAAAGATACTGCACCATTTTGTTAAATATCTAAGACAGAGTGTCAGTGTGGTTGGTTACACAACCCAAATCCCAGAGTTTCTGGCCAGACTGGGCTCCATGGCAAGACCCTGTCTACACAAACACACACACACACACACACACACACACACATGAGGGAGAGAGGGAGAGAGGAGAGAGAGAGAGAGAGAGAGAGAGAGAGAGAGAGAGAGATGAGGCATGGAATAACTGATTTATCCTGAATTTGGAGCTTTCAAAGAGCTTAAATTGTGGGCAAAATCATACTATACGGATAAAATACAGTGGTTTTACCTATATAGTTTGGCTCTAACATATAGTGTTTCATTGTACAGCCATTAATAGCAATATTTTGTACTAAGAACACCAGTAGTATTCATAATCTAATGTAATTATCACTTCCAAATTCCTCCAAAGTGACTGCATTGGTTTACTAAGATATAAATGTTTTCATTGATGTCCTCATCTTCTAATTTCAGTCACTGCATCCATGGAAACTTCATTATTTTAATGAACTGGATTATTCATAGCATGTCCATTGTCATCCGTGATAATACACATGACCCAACAATGATGCATGCACAGCTGAACTATTCCTTATTTTTCTTCCTTTCTTCCATTTGAGACATAAATAAAATCAAAACTGTTTTGTTTAACACTTTTGTTGTAATTTTATTATAGACTTCATTAGCATTTAAAATATAGCATAGGAGTGGAGGAGTGGGTCAAGTGGTAGAGTGCCTGAGTCCCTGAGTCCAAACCCTAGTACTGCCAAAAAATATATGTGTGTATGTATATATATATACACATAGAGACATATATGTATAACATAAACTTCTGGGGCTAATGTTTTCATTGCCTTATTGCTGATAATATCTTGACCCTATCAAAATCAAATGCATTGTTCTGACCAAGTGTCTTTTCTGTGGGTTTCCTGTAAATAAGCTTCTACCGTTCCAGATGTATTTTCCTAAGTGAAGCAGAAGGTGTTAACTATCACACATACTCCTTCTGGTTCAGCTGATGGATAGTCCAATGCAATCAGACTATCTAAAACACTGTTAGCCACAGAAATTAAAGAACTCTACAGTGAAACTATAGATTTTGCAATAGAATCAGCTCAAATCTCTCAGTTCAAATCTCTAATGACAAACTCATTGACATTTATGCCAGGCTGTGTAAGGAGTATTCTACAAAAGGAGGATCGTTTCTAGAGACACAAATTCACTGGCAAATTCCTCTGTATTCCATAGTCTTGACCATTGTTCATTTTTAACTGATTATAGAGTGATAGTGTTACTTGTACAACCCCTAATCCACACTGGCTTCTTATTTTCTACTTATTAAGACATTTTAATCATTAAATCCTCCAACAGATAAAACTAGATCCTAGAGGGATACCATAGATCATTCCTTGTGGAGGAGCTTTGCATGTTTGGGTCACCAATGGGTAAACACTGGTAATGTTGGCCTAAGAAACGTTGCATGGCCAGAGACTGCTGAAAATAAGGATTAGAGTTATAAATCTATCTGAAAACTGTTGAATTATCTTTCTTTTGTTTTTCTTATTGAATTTCTGTCCTAATTGGACTATAAAACTCTCAATACAGGTGAGATTGTCAAATGTAAGCAAGTCAGGGCTGGAGGTATGCCTCATGCTGTGGAGTGCTTGCCTAGCAAGTGCAAGGCCCCGAGTTCAAGCCCCAGTTTTGCAAAAAAGTAATTCCAAATTTAAACAAGTAATCTGAATACATGAATCTAAAAGCCTAACCCTATAGAAAGTACTAGATGATGGACTTGGGATATCAGTGAAATATGTTATAAGGTAAACCAGAAATTCTCTAAGATTATATAAAGACTTAGATTTAACATGAGATAGCCATCATTCAGTTATGATCCCAGTGGGGACTGTCAATTGTAGAATCTTACTTACCGCATTATTTTGTCTTATAAAATAATGGAATTAAAAAGAAAGAAAGTAGGGAACAGATAACAAGGGAGAAAGGTTTCATGGTGATAGAAAATAGAAGTCTTAATCTGTGATCTTGGGAACAGTAGGATGCTTGCTGCTTCTGAAAAGAAACCTCTCTGGTTAGTTTTAATTTGAGGTCTCCAGTGAGTGTACAGGTACAGGCTCTCTTGACTTGAGAGATGTGGAGCCAAGACTGAAAGCTGTAAAATGTTGATGCAGAGAGGAACTCAATTGGTATCCTTTTTTAGTGGTGCTGGGAATTGAAGGAATATCCCTTGATTTCTTAAATTTCTTCATGATAACACATAGCTACCTGTTTTTATAAACTTCTGACTTCCAGTATTACAATGAGTATGCCTCTATTTTCTGTTGTTATAACTTAGTATATGAGATTGGGTAATTTGTAGAGAGATTTATGTTTTTCATAGTTCTGGAGGCTGGAAAGTGCCAACATCTGCTCAGCTTCCAGCGCTGCTTCAACTCTAGGTAGATGAAAGGCAAGTGGTCTGATTACATGAGCACACATTACAAGATGAAATTATGATGGCTACAAGTAATGAGGCAATAGGAGTTTTTGTTTTTTTTTTAGCTCCATCACAGTTTTATGAGACCACATTTTACATGGGGTCTATTGTTGACTGAGTACGTGACTATTATATAGAAGCTTTTTGTAGACTAGCCAAAACTTATTACGTAGCATATGATATTTTGAAAATAAATAAAGTCATAGAAATCCTATGCCTCACTTAATTGTATTTGCCTTTAGAAATGTGTTTATAAAAAATGCTGCAACCCTACAGCTTGTACTCTGATTGGAAAGGCAGAGTGTGGCACTGGACCATGCTGTAATGCAAAAACTTGTGAGGTAAGGCTTTAGCAAACTATATTATTTCCAGTTTGTGATTTTTTGTGTTCTTATGCACTCCTTTTGTAACTTCTTTTGAACACATTTTTCAAATATTTTAATTCATATTCTCTTTGAAGGGCTTTTTTTAGTCTAGTTCTTAATTGTGCATGAATATTTCTTTTTTGTCCTTAAGTATTCCTTATAGCATCTTTGTAGAGGAATTATGCTATTCCACAAAGTGCAGACATTAAGGATTTTTAAAAATTTTGTGCTGGAATCAAACCCAGGGCCTTGCACATGCTAGGTAGGTGCTCTGTTGCTGAGCCACACCTTCAGCCTAAGGATATTTTCTATTATTATATCATGTCATTTGTTTCACATTAAGTAGTAACTTCTGATGGCGAACAACAGAAACTCAATTCATACACAAGTGATTTTCCATTCAGAGGATGTCCTTTCAAGTACCTTTCAAGCTTCTTCTGGGATCTGTTTTTCACTGAGTGGTTTCAGTCTCTACTGAAGATCCACTCAATTCATTCTTACAATACCAGTTCTGTATTGTTTGAGAGCTATGAGTTTCTCTTGGTTGTGCCTGACTGTTCATGATCAAGTAGCTTAAAAAAAACAACCATACCCACACACAGCAGACTGAAATATTCTGACAAGCGAAGAATAATAAGAGCTCTCATTTTGAAAATGGCAGAAAAGGAATCAATGTAGTAGATTCAGTAATAGGCAGTGTATTGAACTCCAAAGTGTGGCTCTGGCAAGTTGTTCTTTTCTGTTCTGTCAACTAATGATTAAAGCCAATATCTATTTGTTTCAAGGTGCATGAATGTAGAAGCTGGGCTAGAGTTTGTAGTTCTCAGCAATAAGCCTTGTTGCTTTTCCCTCTGCCAGAATGCTTGTCTTTCTCTACAAAGCAGGGAGATTGGGTACTAAGGCTTTTCTGAACAGCTCATTGCTGTCTGCCTACATCTTTAAATAGTAGTTAACTACTCTTCTTAGTAGGTTCCTTTTTAAAGATGGACGCAAATGCCACATTTGGTAGAATGAAAATTCACATTACAAGTCATTTGGAAGGGTCTACACTAAATATATCAGTCCACATTAATTTTATTGTGCATTATGATGTAGAATTTGACTTATGCTGTCATTCAAAGCCTTCCACTGTCTTATACTCTGTTCTCACCTTTATTTGCCATAGGTGTAAAAGGTTTTCTATTTTTTTCATCTTCTTTCAAATAGGTGAGCTTCTACCAAAGTGTGTGTAAAATGTGGAGATTGTATCCAATTGTTTTTGCCATAAAATTTCAACTTAGACATAGCTCCATGGGCAAATATATGAAAGACAGCTGATTTTCTACTCCTATTCATGATGAACATGCTTCTAAGCAGTACTTAGATAATTTAAAAAAGAGTCGATACCACATTATACCAATTGTTCTGTTGTATTCTGATCAATGGTCAAGCATAGAAAAATAAATATTTAAATATTTTTAGGTAAGGAAGTTTGTGGATCTTTTTTTTAATGTTTTTATTAGTGTATGATAGTTATACAGAGGGTTTCACTTTTCCATTTTTATAGCTATATCATCTATCTATCTATCCATCTATCTATCATCTATCTATCTTTATACATTGTACCCTGATTTGGTCCATCCCCGAGATTTGTTTAAATAAATTTAAGTAAAAGATGAATATGCAGCTTCAAGGATTTTATCCTAGGTATCTCTGTGATATCCTTGCTTTTTTGGTGATAATTGTCACAAAAGCTTTCTCCATTTGTGGTATAGATAGGTCATGGCATTCTCTTACATTTTCAGTCCATACTGTATAATATTTCAAAAGAGTAAAGAGGTCCTATGCTGTTCAATGTATCAGTCCTTGATAGTAAATGAAAACCTGACTGACCTTGACAAATATGTATGTTTGTTGTTCTTTGTCTCACAGATCAATGAAAGAGGAATGCTATGTAGAAAAAGTAAAGATATGTGTGATTTTCCAGAATTTTGCAATGGAACATCAGAGTTTTGTGTACCTGATGTGCAGTCTGCTAATTTAGAACCATGCAATAATAGGAGTGCCTTTTGTCTAAATGGAATTTGCCGAGACCCGGATAGACAGTGTGCAGACTTATTTGGAAAATGTACTGGTTGTATCTTTTTTTTTCTGGGGTTTATTTTAAGCTGCAATTATTTTAAAGTCAATAATCTATTTTATAGCTATACAAAAATGCTGTTTTAATCTACATTTGTAAATAAGATTACCAACTAAGCAAGTTTTATCTATTTCAAATGGAAAAATGGACAAAAAGAATAGGATATTAGTCAAATTTGGGTTATTAATAGATAGGGTAGCCAATCAGGATTTTATTTAAGAGAACAGATAACTGGTTTCTCAATAGTTTCTGTTAGTATGGTACAAATTTTTGTACTTTGAGTAGTTTTTAGTTGTTTTTCCTCATGTTGACAATAGATGGCACAAAAAGTTTATAGTACATAACACTGACTGGGCATTGCTGTGTTCTGCAGGTCTCTATTGACTTCCCACACTTTTAAAAGTTTTAAATGATTTTTTGGTAGTATGGGTAATGGAACTTCTTTTCATTTTTGATTTTTTCAGATGCTAAGGGCTCTAATTATTTGTGTGCACAAGAAGTGAATATTCAAGGTGACAAATTTGGAAACTGTCATGGAAATTGTAATTTTCAGTATGTATTTAGAAAATTCTACATTTTATTGTGTTTGTTCTGTGTGTTTATTGCAAAGATTCATGTAAATAAAAACAAGAGATGAACGTAGTATTTATAGGTAGCATGGCTGTTTGGCTTCACAAGGTGGTGTATTGATCAGAGTGACACTTTGAATTATTCTTATACTTTGAATTGTTATTAACCTAATATATGGTACACTTAAGTGACAAGCAGATAACTTTTTCCTTCCTTACATTGCCAGGTTTATACTTTGTGGAAAGATAGTTTGTCACTGGACAAAATCAGAAATCATACCACAGACAGTATATGATATCCAGTATACTTATCTTGGAGGCCATGTGTGTGTGTCTGCACATTTAAGAAAGAATGATAGACAAGACAATACCTATGTACATGATGGTACTATTTGTGGTCCAAATCAAGTAAGTACAATTTTTCCTTGATATTATACGTGGTAGATTTGTGTGCAAATGTTTGTATTTGCATATATAAGAGACACCTTGTTAAATGCAAATGACTAAAAATACAAATTAACCAATGAAGAATTAACCAATTTCAATAAAGAAAATGGAAGCTGGAAATTCATTCAAACGTCAAGTTCTATTACAAAATCAAGATAATTAAGAAAATGCAGCATTGGTATAAGGGTAGATAAAATAATCTATAGACTAAAATAGAAAATATTTCAGAGGAATTTCAGATCAAATGTTTTAATAAAGATACTTAAAGAAAAGTTAGGTGAAGTGTATTATACACTCAAAACTGGGCACAGTGGCTATAATCTAGTTACTCAAAAGGCAGAGTTTGAGAAGATAGCGGTTCCAGGCCAGGCTGAGCAAAAAAAAAAAAAAAAAGTTAGCAAGATCCCTATCTCAACCACAAATCAGGTCTGATGATGTACACCTGGCATCTCAACTATCCAAGAGGTGTAAATGAGAGGATTTGATCCAGCCTGGCTTGGGTATAAACATGAGACCCTTCTGTATAAATAACTAAAGCACAAAGAGATGGTGGAATAGCTCATGAGGTAGAGAGCCTGCCTAGCAAGCACAAGGCCCTAGGTTCAAACCCAAGTACCACTAAAACAACAACAAAAAAAAACCGTTGCTATGAGAGTGGAGTCAACCACTGTGACTCTACCTGATAACGTGGAAAAGTCTTTGAAATTTGTTGATGGGGCAGTTTTTTAAAGTCTGCAGTGACAGGTAGAGAAACTGTTAAGTGCCTAGAAGACTAGACTGGTGATAGAAACGTAGATAGTAAGACTATCCTGATGAGGTTTTAGATGGAAATGAGGATTCTATAGGAAATTGGACTACAGGCCATCCTTGTTACACTGTGACAAAGAATTTTAGCAATTTTGCCCATTTTCTGAAACTCTGTGGGGTTGGATAATAAAGCTGATGGGCTAGTTTGTCTGGCAGAGGAAATATCAAGGCAGCACAACATCCAAGCATTGGCATCAGTATTATTGGCTGGGGTTATATATGGGGTTATGAAGGTTTCTACCAAGACCTTAAAGGAAACCCCAGGAGGCCAGTGTGTGGGTGATTCCATTTCCTACAAGCAGCCCCTGACAAGGTGATGTCAGGATTTTAAGAGTAAAACTAAAAATTCAGTGGAAACTCCAGAAAGTTAGCGATGCCAGGTATGTGGAATTCCTGTCAAGGGAGGCTTCAGGCAGTGTGCAAAACTGTGCAGGAGAGAACGGCCAGATGAGCTGAAGTCAGCAAAGCCAGACATGGGGATACCCAAGTCTTTGTGGGGCCACATCTGCCTCAGTGTGCCCTGAAGGATGGTCTGGTGACTCTTTCCTGTTTTCTTTTTCCCCCTTTGGGAATATTAATGTTTGTTCTGTACTCTTGTATCTTGGTATTACATCATTTTCTTCCTGATTTTTACAAGGACTCACAGATGAATTTTTCTTGCACCTCAGAGGAGACATTGTGGCTTAAAAAAAAAAAGACAGGGTCTTGCTTTGTATTCAAGCTCAGGCTGGCCTCAAACTTGAAATCCCCCTGCGCCAGGCTTCCATCTGCTGGGATTATAGCATACACCACCATGCACTGCTTCGAAAGAGACTTTAGACTTGAACTTTTAACTAATACTCACCCAGTTAGGACTTTGGGACTCTGATGAAGGGACCAAATGCATTCTCAATTTGATGTGAACATGCTTTTTGGAGTCAGGGCTGGAATGCTGTAATATGGAGCTGGACACATGCCCCAAAGGCCTATGTGTCGAAAGCTTGATCCCCAGCCCATGGTGCTACTAGGGGGTGGTCTAACCTTTAGAAGGTGGGACCTATTGGGCAGCTTTAGGTCAATGGAGGTTTGCCCTAGAAGGGAATTTTGGGAAGAGACCCTGGTCTCTTTCTCTTCTTCTTTTTTTGGCCATGAAGTAAGTAGCTTTGCTCTCCCATGTGCTTCCTAGCATGACCAATAAAACATGGACTGAAAACTGAAATTGTGAACCAAAATATACCTTTTCTCTTCATGAAATGATTATCGGGTTATTTGCTACAATAACTGAGAACTGATTAATGCAATATAAAATCATAAAGGGTGGAGAGACAAAGACAGGCCAGCTAGGGACCTCAGAACCCAACGAACAATATAATAGTGAGTTTTCTTTTTTTCCGCATCATATATCCTAAACCAGGTGACAGAGAGGCCAAGTGGCAAAGACATGCTTAAGAAAGTCCTGTCTCCTTTACTTTATCCAAATTAGACAGGAAAATAAAAGTGACAGGGGCCTTCAACCCTGCCAGAGAGCAAGGAGCAGACCCCCAGTGGAAAGTTTGTTTCCTCTTACCCTAGGAGCAATTTGGAGCCCACTCCCACCCCTGGTGTTAATGGAACTGTAGTTCCAACCATACTTGGCAAAAATGATGCAGTGTCTCTTTTCTTCTTGACAGTTTTTAACAAAGGAGGACTGCCAAAACAGAAAATTTAGCAATATTCAGTGCCTCATAAAATAATGCCCAAGGTGTCCAGGTTTCAGGCAAAAGTCACCCCTCATACACAAAACAGAAAAGAATTTCAAATTGGACGAGAAAAGGAATCAACAAATACCAACACTGAGATGACATACATGTAAGAATTCTCCTTCAGAGAATGTGAAGCAGTCATTGTTAATGTGTTTCAGTGAGCAGCTGCATGCTTGAAATCAGTGAAGCAACTCAAATTTCAGCAAAGAAATAGAAAGTATAAAGAAGAGCCAACTGGAAAACTCAGAACTGAATAAATACACTAACAAGTTTGTAACTTGATGGGCTCAGGATCAGAGTGGAAGGGATAGGGAAAGAATCAGTGAGTCTGAAAGACAAAACAATAAAAAAGTAACAAATATGAATAATAGAAAATAATGGAAAAAATGAATACTGACTTAGAAAGGCATGTAACATTGTCATTAAAGACGTCATTAAAGATGAAAAAGGATTTGATGAAATAACAACTGGAAAAACTGCAAATTAGGGAATAAACTTACCAATTGAAGAAGCTGAATGAACTCTGTACTGGAAGAACCCATTGAAATTCATAGCAGTTTCAGCATAATAAAATTTCTGGAAATTTAAGTACAGAAAAAGTCTTAAAAGTATGATTTACATGTCACAAAAGGTTGTCATGTTATTTAACTAAGTTTCTACCATCCCACACAACATGGGGATTCAGCCAATGTCCCATAGGAGAATTCAGCCATGCATTTGAAAGGCGACTGGCCAGTGTTACCCATGGCTAAGGGAACAAAGCAAAAGAAGTTAGGAAAAATAAGCAAGAAAGAAAAAGAAAGGCAGGGCAGGGAAGGAGAGAGCTGAAGAGAGGAAGAAGAAAGGAAGGAAGAAAGTAGGGAGGGAAGGAAGGGAGGGAATCAGGAAGAAGAAAGAATGAAAAGAAAGTGGAAGCGGGATGATTAATACCTCACTTTTGAAAGGTTCTTCCAGTTTGTAATTTTAGTTAATACTCATTGTATTCAATGATCTCTGATTCCTTTTAAATATGATTTGAGTTTTCTGGTAGGTGTAGTAGAAGCTTTGGGCTTATATACATTTTTACTGCCAAACCATTTTAAAGACAACTTGAGGGCTTCCTCTGTGTGAGTGGGTTTTGTCAAATGTCATTTTAGAAGCTGGCTTGTAAGCCATGAATCAGCAGTTTAATTGAGTAATGCTCATTTCCAGAGGGCAGACCATTCTAAAAGCATGAATTCACATTCGCCATTAATTCAGTTGTTTCAGGAGCAAATACCTTTCTACACTTTTCTTGCTTGGGATAGAAGTGTTATGTTGACTGTGTCCTGCAATTGAAAGGAAGGGAATGATGGGTAGGGGATGTTGAGAGGTAACTACTTCTGTGGCTCTGTGGACAGACCTCACATGACAATGCCACATGAAGCCATCCTTCCATTCCTGCCCTTTCACCTCTTCTTCCTGTGACTCTGAGCTGCCAATCTCCTAGAGCATCATTTGCCTGGCCAGCTGGGCTCTTCTGGTGCCACTGAATTTCTCTTGGTCACTTACTTAATTCATTTTATCCACCAATGGCCTTCCATTTTATTTATTTCAGAATCCTGGAAAGTTCCTAAATCCTTCTTCAAATTGCCTCTTTTTTTTACATTGCAAGAACTTTTGTAAATGCCACAGTGTACCTCCACCCAGGACAATAAAGAAAAATAAAATAAAATTCTTACTCACCACCATCCTTAGAAAAGGGTGCTTTTATTTATGTCAAGCCTGTCAATTTCAATTTGAATTCTGTGACTGTTTAAAAGATTCCTAAAGATTCACTTTATTCTCATGTTATTCTACACTTGCTCTTTTTTATTAACATATTATTAATTATAAAAACTGTAATTAGCATATGCTAATTGTAATATATTCGTTGTGATTTTCCATACATGCATGCACTTCACTTACTTTGATCAAATTCTCCTCTCTATGATTGTTTCTTATCTCCCCTCACCCCTTTTGAAAGCAGTTTAATGGATTTCACGATTCTATTGTCATATATGTGTATGAAATACTTCTATTATATTCACCCCCCTTCACTCTCTCCTTTTCCTGCTTGTCCCCATCCCCAAGCAATGTCCCTATTGTATACTCATTGACTTCAGCGAGTTGGGAAAGTAGAAATTTCCTTATCTCACCTTCATATTATGTGGGTGCTTCCTAAAAAGCAAATTTCCTACATGTCTATATCTGTATCTATACAAATGTCGATAGAAAGATTACATAGAAATGAGATAGACATTTTTTTCCTACTCATCAACATGAAAAAATAATGTGTATGTCACTTTTAATTATAATAAAAATTCTAAATACACAAAGTCATGTACAAAGTGAATAATATGGAGATAGGCATTATTTCAGCAAAAAGAAGCAACTTTGTTTAATATTGGTTGCATTAGAAAGTTTCTTTATATTTGTTACTTTTAAGACTTACTGGGGGGAGGGAGAAGAAAGAGTAATAAAGGGGTGAAATGGTTTACATTACATTGCATGCATAGATGGAAATATTGTAATAAACTCCTTGTTTTATATAGTTAATATATACTAATAAAAATAAATAATAGTGAATGGTTAAAATTAACACTTTTACCTATCTTTATATATTGGAGAAACAGCTTCATATACTGTAGGTGTTTCTTTAAGGAAGTGCATTTTTGGGACACTAGGGATTTCCTTGTTTTCAAATAATGATGTTACTGCTTCTGAAACACTATTGTCCAAAGAGGGCCCCATGTGTTAGCTTATAGGCAAAACATTCTCCTAACCATTGACCAGGACTAAACACTTTTCATCCTTTCCTGTCCATTACAGAAGAGTCAACTACAGGCTGACCTGTTTATGAAAGGAAATTGCATCAGAAGCATGGGCCTTATTTTCCCTGGCTTATTTTTCCCCTAAAAACAGCCCAGTGAAGTATGACTAACTGAATTCAAAGATGACTGCACTGATGTGTAGAAAGATTCCGTAACTTGCTCCAGGTTACATTGCTAATCTGAAAGATAAGAAGCAATGCCACTTAAGTTGGAGAAAATGTAAACATGACAGGATCCTAGTACGTAGCATTGCCTCCTGGGATCTGTGAGTAACGCAGTTCTTGCACGGAAGAATGACTCTGTCATGACCCTTGTTATGAATATAGGTTGATCTGGTGTGTATGTCACCCTGCATGTAATCTTCATGACCAATAGGATTCCTCGACTCTTTGTGTTTAAAGGTTTTGTTATCGGTGATTGTTTTGGCATTTTTACTTTTAAAAGATAATAAATAAATAAATTAAATAAAATAAACATTATTACCTTTCCATGTTTTTTAGGCTTGTCTTGGAGGGCAATGCAAATTTGTGTCCACCTTCAAAAATAAATCAGAATGCGACTCACTAGTAAAATGCCAAGGACATGGGGTATGTAACAGTTTCTCTGTTTTAAATAGGTTATTTCAGTCCATGTGGATCACCTTGTTCAGTATAATAAGGTTCAGAATTCTTTCCTGTGGAGATTTCTTCTGGAAAATTACAATTAAATAAGGAAAGTGGACTCATTACTTACACAGACGCACTAAATTACATTCACCGTCATACTGGTGTAGTGCTCCTGAGAAGTAAGCTTCGACTTTTATAAAAATGCAATAGGCAACATTATCACAACGTTAGATTAAGGTTGCGAACATTTGGAATTGGATTTATTAAACATTGCACATATATTATACATTTATATGTATGTATACCTATTGCTTAAATTCATTGGGTATGAACAATGCAAATTTACAAATTCTGATACATTTAATGTGTTTTTAATATGCCATTGTTTATCACCTAATACTTTTGTGGAATCAGAGTTTCTTGTCCATTGAGATTTCGTTCCTCTTTTGACAGCCTTAATTTTTGTCTTCTTATGGATCTTTTATACTGTATTCAAAAATTCATATCCTGATGGCCTTTCCAGTACTGTTAAAGGCTTACCCATTAGAATTACTGCTGCAATGCATATTGCTGTACATTCATCTTTCTCTTCTTCATTAAATCACCAGTGGAGTCTAATGGGTGATATATGCAACATTTACATTTTTATAGGTATTGTGTCATCTGTAGGAAATAGTATGCCAATTTTTGTTCCCACATATCATGCATAAAAATGTGCATTTCCTTGTGTTCTGGCCAGGCGTGTTCTTCTAATGTGCTGAATCCATTTTTAACTTGTATTTATTTTGTCACATCAGACACTTGCATTTTTTTGTCCATCTGATGTGAAATTATCTGATGGGTTGCAGAAATTTTGTAAACTTTTTAAGTGTTTACAACCATACATTTGGCTTTATATGTGTGGCCAGAATCTATTCCCAAACTGAGGCCTTTGTAGCAAGGCCTCTGATAAAATGTGGACTCTCTGTGTTTTAATGTCAAAACTTTGCCTGAGGACTGGAGATATGACTCAAGCAAAAGAGTGCCAGCCTTACAAATGCAAAGCCCTGAGTTTGAACCCAGTACCACAAAAAAAAAATTTTGTCCCAAATCACATGACCTATTACTTTCAGTTTCTTTTCTGATTCTTTTTTTTCTTGTGTGATTCTAATTTAAATTTCTTATTTGTATTCTGTGGAAGACTACTTCTGGATTCACTATCAACTACTGACCTTTTTCAACTCCTCCGCTGGCCACATTTACAGCTACGGGTATTTCCCACATTTCTAGCTGTGCTATTTGTGTCTGATTAAGCAAGCATCTTCTTTAAGCTTTTTTCTTCCATATTTCACAGAAGTTGTTTCTTATCAAAGTTATTTTTTAATTTAGCAAAAATTAGTGATAAGTTTTAATTATTACCATTTTGTACTCTTTATGTATTTTTTGGAGGTAGTGGGGTTTGAACTCAGGGCCTCACACTAGCTAGGCAGGTGCTCAACCACCTGCACCACTCTGCAAGCCCTTTTTTGTGTTTGGTATTTTTGAGATAAGGGACAAACAATCTGTTTTCCCTGACTATATTTTTGAACCACAATACTCCCGATCTCTGCTTGTTGAGTAACCACTGGTGCCCTGCACCTGTTTATACAAATCTTTAGCTTCAGCATTTCATTTATATCAAGAATACTATTAACTTTTATTTAGAAATATAGACAAAAAGATAATTCCTTGATATTTGAAAATATGGCTTTCACATTTATTATATCACCTTTATTTTTATCTTCCATAGTAAATAAAAACTGTTTACACTAAATTGTTATATTTTAATAGTTTACATGGTCTAATAATCACAAATAGTGAATTAATGTTTATGTTATGTAGAAAACGTTCTTAGTTTTTGTTTGGGTTTGGTTTTAGGTTTGCAATAGTTTGCATAATTGTCACTGTGATGTCGGATATTCTCCTCCATCTTGTGATCCAACACCATCATCACCAGGAGGAAGCATGGATGATGGGTATTGGATCCCACAGGGTTGGTGTCAAGATCAGTATTTTCCAACAGAGCTTTCTACTCTCATAGAAATGTTCTATGTCTCTGCTGCCCTATGTAGATGCTGAGCACCTGACATGTAGGTAGTATGATTGAGGACATTTTTATTTTACCTTACTTAAAGTGAAATAATCATTTATGGCTCTTTTGTATACACACTTTTAAGTCTAACCTAGAAGTGAGCATTTTATTTTTTTAATTTATTTTTATTTGAATTCACCCCCTTCATCATTCTCTCCACTCCCATTCCTGGAGTAGTTTCAAGAGGTGTCATTTTCCATTTACATACATATGTGCACAGTATTTACACTATATTTGCCCTCCTTCACCATTTCCCACCTCTTCCCTCCTCCCACTGGTATCAACCCCTCCCCCGCAGGCAGGACCAGTTCTACCCTCCTGCACTTTTGTAAAAGCAAAATAATATGACAGTTTTGTTTGTTTAAGGTAGTTATACAGGGAGTTTCCTTGTGACATTTCCCTGTAGAAATGTATTATAACCCAAATTGGTTCATCACCTAGAAGTGAGCGTTTCAAAATGCATCCCCTTAATTTTAATCATGGTTCACAGAACATTTCTATTTGTACAGCAGAGTTTTCTGCAGGACACAAATTATAGAAAATATGATAGTTTTACTGCATAGTCTGCCTGTTTCAAGGGTGTTATATGGTATGCCAGTTCATAACTAAGTTGCATGTTTAAAATTAACCACAATATTAAATGGGAAATACCCAAATCTTCCATGCCCTCAGCACATAAGTGTTATGTGACACTAAATGTCTTAAAATTTATTTGGTGAAAAGTCATGAACAAATCTTGCCTATTTGATTTCATCAAACTTATTTTGTACATACCTGAATATATGCTTCAGGTATGGACTTATGAGTAAAATGCGCCAAGACAGCAATTTTTTCATATGAGTAAGTTAATTGTACATATGAGTAAGTTAATATGGGTGGTTGGTGCAAAGGAGCTATAGACTAGAAGGAAAGTAAAATATACATTTCATGAGTGCTGTTAAATGTGTTTCCATGTGCCTACATATGGGATTTTAGATATTTTAGTAGTAGATGATACTGGAGAGAAAAAAATTAATTTCTTTCATCAGAACATGGTAATAGTCACCATGTACTATTAATTATGTTGACATATGTAGAGATTTTTGTAGATTGCCATTATAAATTTGAGGAAATTTCCTTTAATACCTGGTTTCTGAGGGTTTTGTTAATAGTAGTATTGATTATTGCAAATACTTTTCAGTATCAATTAATATGATCTCATGATAGTGACCCTTAGGTTGTCGATATGATGGATTAAACTGATTTTTTGAATATTGAACCAATATTGAATGTCTACAATAAATACTCCTTGGTTATGATCCTGTATTTGTTTGTATATTTCTGAATTTGATTTGTTAATATTTTGTTGAAGGTTTTGTGTCTTTGTTCTTGATAGACATTAGTTCCCTTCCTTCCCTCCACTCACACTGCCTGTCCTCCTACTTCTCCCTCACTTATCTTTTACTTCCATTAAGTCATATAATACTGGCCTCATAAAATGTGTCAGGAAATGTTTCTTGTCATCTACACTCTGGCAATGATTGCTTAAAACTGGCATTATTTCTTCTTTCAGTGTCATATTTTCCATGACACTGGAGATTCTCTTTTGGGGAGCTTATACATTAAAGATTTTTTTGAATGGATATTTAGACATCTATATTGTCTATTTCATCTTAGATAACTTATAGTAGCTAATACTTTCAAAGAAGTTAGCCCAACTGATTATTTTCCACTTTGATCACAGACAGAGGACATTTAAAAAACTACAGTTGTAATTATGTGTTTATTTCGTATGGCAGTTCTTGTGACTCATTTATTTAGCATTTTCATTAATTGGATGCATAGGTTAGACTTCTATATCTTTCAGGTGAATTGCTGTTTATACATTTTTTTCTTTTTTTTGTTATATTACTGTTGTACGAGGGGGTTACAATTTCTTTCTTTCCTTTGTTGGTGGAACTGGGACTTGAATTCAGAGCCTTGCAGTTGCTAAGCAGGAAGTCTACCACTTGAGCCAGTCTTCAAGCCCTAAAAAGGATGATTTTGAAGACAGGAGGCTCCAAAAAGCCTCAGCACTTTTTGCTCAGGCTAGTCTGGACTGAAATCCTCCTATTTTATGCTTCCCACTATCTCTGGGATGATAAGTGAGTGCCACCACACCCAGCTTTTTTCCACTGAGATGAGGTCTTGAAAAGTTTTTTTCTCAGGCTGGCCTGGAATCCACCTTACCACTAGCTTGGGATGACAAGAGCAGACCACCATGCCCACCTATTGGTTGAGATGGGGTCTTGAGAATTTTTGCTTGGGCTGGCCTTGAACCTTGATCTTCCCATCTCAGTTTCCCAAGTAGCTAGGATTAAAAGTGTGAGCCACCAGCACTCACCTTATTTTTCTTTTTTGTAGACAGGATCTCCTATTTTTTGCCCAAGACTGGCCTCTGAACCATGATCCGTCTATGTATGACCTCCTATGTAGCTGGGATCACAAATGTGTGGTACCACACTGGGTTTGTTGTTGATATGGGATCTTCCTAACTTTTGTCCTGAGCTGGACTTGAACTGCAATCCTCCTGCTCTCTGCTTGCTGAGTAGCTGAGAATACATGTGTAAGCCAGAGTGCCAGTTTATATAATTTCTTTAATTTATTTCTTTTATCTTTTGTCCTGAAGTCAGCTTTGTCTAAAATTAATCCTCAATAGTGATCTTTAACTTTTATTGAACCCTTTTATTCTGCATTTTAAAAACTACATTGCAGATAATGTAGACAAGTAGGAATAAGAATAGTAAAAATCAGTCTTGTTAAAAAAATTAAGCATAGAAAACTCAGTATTCATGATATAATTTTACTTGGCTTCTAAGTATATATAGCTGAAATGATTTTCGTGTTTCAAATGCAACTGGTCACTGTAAAACACAAATCTGGAACATATCCTTCCCATAATAAACAGGCATATTTGGAATTCATCTCTTCGAGACAAGATGTGACCATTGGTTGTGATTCTTCTATTTAAATTTACAGGTTCAAAATTTATGGTCACAATTTTTATGCCATCTATGTTGTAATATAATTAAATTATTTTTATTATTTTGTATAAAACAATAAAATAGTCTTAATGTTTCACTCTTACCATCTGACTCTTTTCATCCATATTTAACTTCAGTATTTGTCCAGTTGGTTGACTTTTTTTTTGGTAGTACTGAGGCTTTGTCTTTCTAGGCAAGTATTCTACACCTTGAGCTGCTCCACCATACCTTCACTTAGAACTACATCAAATACATATTCATGCCAAGTGTTGTAAAAGATGAAAGAATACTATACTAAGTCTTCTTTACAATACATGAATACTGCATGTTTTGAAGTCCTTCTTTTTATATATCTAGTCCTTCCTATTATACATCTAATTTGCTTTTAGAAATATACTAAGAAATTTTGGAAAAAACTATAATGCCACCATCAGAAGATGTAGTTTAAAATTTTATTAATATGATCAATGCCAGCATTATTTGTAGACTGAGTGTTTTTATCCCCCACAATTCATATCAGGACCTAAACCTAATTCTCAATATAATGAATTTTGGAGGTGGAGCCTTTGGGAGGTCATTAGGTCAAGGGCAGATCTTTCATGAATGGGATTAGTATCCTTATAAAGGAGACTCCGAAGGGATCCCTCATCCCTTCCACTGTGTGGGGATATAGTGAGAAGATGGGTGTCTATGAACAAGGAAGTGGACCCACACCAGAAAATGAATCTGGCAGTGGCTTGATCTTGGACCTCCCAGCTTCCAGAATTTTGAACCATAAATTTCTGATGTTTATAAGCTACCTGGACTATGGAATTTTTCTTAATAGTAGCCTGAAGAAACTAAAAATCATCATAAGGACTGGAGTGATGTTTTCTGTTTCATTACAATTGTCTGATTCATAGTATTATAATGTCATCATCCACCAATATTCTCCACACCATTATGGTCAATAAAATTTTTTTTCTAAATTCTTGAATGTGGTCAACAAAGCCTACACTGAAAAGACAAAAGTCATTTCCAGAGCTCTTTTGTACCATCTCAGTTGTTGACACATTGTATTAGACAACAAAATAAGAAAACTGAAGTTTTTCCAGTGGAGTAGAAAATGGGGTTCAGAAAGCCTCACATATGTGGGGTAATGATTTCCAACAATAGTGCTAAGGTCATTCAGCTGGGGAAGGTCAGCTTTATCAATAAATTATGTTTGAACAACTGGATATTCACATGCAGAAAAATGAGTTTTGACTACTTTTACCATATACAAAAATTAGCTCAATCTTAATCAACAATATGTAAGAGCTAAGACTATAAAACTTGGATGAAAAAGGGAAATTTGTCATGACATGGGATTTGGCAACAATTCCTTAGGAGATCAAAAGCACGGTCAAAGAAGAGAAAAAATAATTGGAATGTATCCTAAGTAAACACTGTTGTGCATTAAAAGATACTAGGAACAGAGTGAAAAGATAATCCATGGAATGGGGCAGAATATTTGTAAATTATTATCTGATGAGGGATTGATAATTAGAACATGTTAAGAGAGACTACAATAAAACTATATAAAAATGGGCAAAGGATTTGAATAGACATTTCTCCAGAGAAGACAGAACGATAACCAACAAGTTTATGAGAAGATGCTCAACATCACTCAAGTTTAGGAGAATGAATGTCAGAACTACAATGACATAATCAGTTCATACCTTTTGGGAGGGCTGTTATAAAAAATTCAGGATGTGTTAAATGTTGATCAGTATATAGAAAAATGGGAACTCTTGTGCATTTCTCATGGGAATACAAAATGATGTAAACTTTGTGGGAAGCGTTGTGGTATTTTCTCAAAATCAGAAGATAGAATTATCATATTCTGCAATTGCATATCTAGCTATATATCCAAAAATA